TACATTTTGACTAACTATTGACAGTACTAGCTAGACAGCTATCATGGTGTTCGATCCACAACTGGCTCAAGGTTGACTCAGCTTTCCATCCTTCCAAGGCAGTGGTGGGTTCCGGATTTCGCACCAACCAGTACGGTTAGAACGGTTGCTGAGTTACCCACATGCACATGTGCGGTGCACGCACACATGCGTGAGGTGCGCCATGCGTTCTAGCATCAAATGACGCTTCCACAAGCCTCTGCGATGCTCCAGCTGCTCCGCAGAGCATCGCACAGGCACCTTTTCACGCCATGCGTGGAAGCGCCAAAAGCATAAAGCACAGGTAAGGAGCGCGGGCGGGTGGGTGAGCCCTCCAGAGCACCATACCGGAATGGTACCGTGGCGTACCGCCTGCAATCCACCATTATTCCAAGGTTGGTAAAATGAGGACCCAGATGGTTGGGGACAATATGCTAACTTTGTAAACATCTTAGAGAGGACTGTAAAAGAACTGTGAAGTGCTTTATAAGTCTAAATGCTATGGCTATTGTTACTAAAGCTATTAAATTCAACATCCTAACTTAGGTATCACTCATTTTGATACCAAAAAAATTACTCTTCTTAAGAATAATATCTGATTAGGCAAAAATCATCATAGTACTAGAGAGCTCTGCCGCCTTCATCAATAGGGTGGCAACACACAGACCACCCATTGTAATTATAAGCATTTGCAAATGATATTCTAGATAAATGATGCTAACAAACAAGCATTGCTAATGTAGAAATTAAAGAACAAAACAGTGAGCGTGTGAAACAGGAGGAGAGAAGGACGTGGGGAAAAAGCTATTACCATATTTGTACCATACCATCAGTTTAATATACCCATTGATTTTACTTTTGTAAAAACATTTTACACAGGATTATTATTTTATAAATTATTACTTACAAGCAGGTGGAAGCTCATACTCCACTTCTAATACAACCCGCTCACCAACATTCTTGAGCAAACTAATGATCTCATCATGGCGAAACTTTGTCAGGTTGATTCCATTTACAGATTTGATGTAATCTCCTACATCCAGTTGGTCACTTCTGCAATACACATCTCTTCTTCAGTGAAACTGTATTTTATTTGCTTATAACATTTACATGTTTGTAGCTCAGGATTGAAATGAGGGGTCCTTGGTGCTCTCCGAGTTTGATTGTTTTCTTGCAGACATTTCATTACCCATACTCTTGTGGAGAGGAACTCCCCGCCTTTCCCATTCACCAGGACCGTCAGAGGTGTGGCAGCGGACAGGAAGCTTGTCCCACATGCGCAGTAGGAGCTGGAGGACAAGGTTGGATGGTGGAGACTGAGCGGGCAGGGGCTGCAATGTGGCAATGACAACAACTGACTAGGCTGCCACACCGTAGCCCACCCTCTGTCTTTACTTGCCTGCAGCTGCCAAGTATTCTATGCCTGCATGGATGGGCATCTGCACAACCGACGAGCTGGATCACATGCCTCCACCCTGCACCTCTGCCTCCACCTGCTGCTTAAAAGGCCCACCTGCACTGCATGGGTTACAAGACCCCAAGGTGCACTAGAGCAGTGCAGGTGGGATGGGGCCAAGCATGGCTTATTGGGTATCTCAGATTCACATTGCTTTTGGCCAATGAGCAGCTAAGGGGCCAATGAGCTGCACCTGCTGCTGTGGGCACTGCTTGTCCCTGTGCACTCGCTGCCCCCTGTGTTCCCAGGGGGAGTGCCTGGCTGGGGTGAACTGGGGCTCAGGGAGCAGGGCCAGCACATCACTGTCTCCAAGGCAGCCCTGAGGTCCATATCAAACACATCCCAGGCTGCATCTGACCTGCGGGCCTTGTGTTGATATGTCTGATCTAGGATGCTGTTACCTAGTTTGGGTAATAAAACATTATCCAAACATCTGCAAGAAAACAAACAAGTTCAGAAAATACCAATGACCCCTCATTTACAAGTTAAAATATATTATTTTAATACTAATTTTCAAAATAATGATACGATATCCTATATATAGCAATATAGTATTCCTTTATTTGTGTACCATTATTATTACCATATATAAAAGTCTTACAAAGCAAAAATAAGTCTCTATTTTAGGAAGCAAGTCAAATTGTTTTTGTATATAGTCTGTTGGCTATTTGATTGACAAAGTCTCTACATGTTCAAATTTCTATAATTTGACACCTTAAATGACACAGATCTCTCAAAAAGAAAGATCATGCGACAGCATGGGGTACAGTACCATCAATACGCGGATGATACTCAACTGTATCTTTCTGCCCCGTGCCAGCTCAGTGTAGCGGCGGATGTGATGTGCGATGCCTGAAGGCTGTTAGGATCTGGATGGGGGTGAACAAACTTGTGCTCAATCGCGATAAGACTGAGTGGCTTTGGATGCTGCCCCCAAAGACAGCCTAGACAATCCATCCTTAAGCCTGGGGGGTGAAAATTTATGCCCCTCAGAGAGGGTCAGCAATTTGGGGGTCTTCCTGGATTTGCAGCTGAAACTGGAACATCATCTATCGGCTGTGACCAGGGGGCCCTTTGCCCAGATTCATCTGGTGCACCAATTGCTGCCCTATTTGTATCGNTAAACCGCTTAGAGAGGCCTGAAAGGCCTATGAAGCGGTATATAAGTCTACTGCTATTGCTATTGCTATATTGCTAAATAAAAAAAAAGAAACTTTCTAACAATCTCTCCAGTCTGATCAGCAGTAGCATCGCAACTTGAAAATAACAACCAGTAACTAAAAATGGGAGAGAATCTCAAGGGATAATAAAATTGTTAATAATAATATTGTTAGATTATTTTATGATAAATTGCACATTTACTTCTCCTTTTAGATTTGGATACCATTTTCATCCAAAAATGCCCTGCGCTGTTGTAACCCTTAATTAACACAAACAGCTAACAAGGGCTCAGTTGGTGGTTATTAAGGAAGAAGTCCTTCAGATGTCCCAAAGATGCTTTTTCAAGAAGCAAATGAACTTTCTTTGTTTTTCCTTCAAGGCTTTTCACTTCTCATCCAAGAAGCTGCTTCAGAACTTCAGTGTGAGAAGCGAAATTTCTACAAGGAAAAAACAAGTCCAGTTGCCCCTTGAAAAAGCACCTTTAGGACAACCATGACCTGGATGGCTGAGAATCTCCATCGACAAGTCCTTCAGATATAACAAGAGCTCTGACCATACTTCATCTTCCTAGCAATGGCCCCAGTTGTGGTTTGTCTTCCCAGGGAAAATCTGGGAATTCATCAGACATCAGGACATCTGTCCAACCCACGTATGTTTGATTCAACTTGCATTTACTCTAAATTAGCTCTGTCATACTGAGATCATCTGGAGTGACAAAGATGAACTGAATTGGGGTGATCAAATTTCCATCAAAGAAGTCACATTAGGAACAAGCCGTTTGCCTTTTCTTTCTTCCCTATCACAGAGAGCAAAACTCCCAACTTTTCCCGTGTTTTTTTTTCCGAAACTGAGAAAAAGGATGACCAGATTTGAATAGGTTAGGACAGTCATGGTGAACCTTTTTGGAATCAAGTGCCCAAACTGGAACACCTGTGCATGTGAGAACATGTGCGTGCACCAGAGCACCCAAAATTTGAAGACCAGCTGGCCGATGCACGTGTGCCTGGTTTTTTTTGGGGGGGGTGTTTTGGGGGCATTTTTCAGGCTGTTTTCAGGCTGTTTTCCTAGCTATTTTCAGGCTGGTTTTGGGGCCATTTTCTGGCTGTTTTCAAGCCAATTTTCAGGCTGGTTTTGGGGCCATTTT